TGTGTTTTTTTTTTTTAAATTGCACACAAATGGCAATATTCAAACTATGAAAATAAACCATAACATATTTATATGGTATACTTACAGCTTACAATATATCAGTGTTCTACCTGTATGAAAATGGTTTAGGCTATCATGCTTTGCTTTAATAATATTAATAAAAATATCACTATTTTGAAGCTATCTGATTCACAAATTAGCGCCAATACACATATAACATACAATACCAATAGCATACAATACGTATACATTTCTTAATTTTGTTTGAGATTTCCTTACAGCTTCATATTTAGGAGTGGTCAGTGCCCAAAGTGTTAGAAATGCTGTTGTCAACAAGGCAAAGTGGATTTTCAAAACACTTACCTCTCTCAGGACAGCTAGATAAACATGACAAAGTGTTCTAACACATCAAATAAAATATTTCAAGAAATCTTAAATAGGATTGTTGTTCTGAGCTCTCTGTTATTCTGGTTATATTCCTTTTGAACATTTAGTTTTACATTTAGTTTACACTTTCATCCTTATCTGTCAGTCTCCATCTTAAAATGTATTACAAGTAATAAAGATGATAAATAGCTAAGCAAAATGTCCTTCACGCAGTTTTAGTTTCCTAGAAACTGAACATTTACTTGACCTAAGGAAATGCTAAAAATAACTGTTCCAAGTTCTCCTGCCGAAATGGAGCAATATATTCCATAAATTAGTTTAAGGTGTTGTCATGACAGTAAGGATAATTTTCAAACTTTATATGTGAATTATCCTTACTGTCACTCTGCCCCTCATGTTGACCCCCTGGTGGCTAATATAGAAGATTGCCATGGCACTATCAAACTGCTGTCAGATTTAAGAGACTTGATCAACATTTTTGACAGGTCATGTTAAATAAGGTACGACTAAGGGACATTGATTGTTAAATTAGCTTAACCCAATGTGTCACTGAGGACTATGGATAGTGCAACCCTGGGCATTGATTGGAAGTTTACTGGCCCAGAAACATTGATTGGGAAAGATCCTTGTGATCGCAATTCTCAAGAGTAAGGAAAGCTGAGATTAAACTAAGGAAATGTCAATGGGTTTCCGTTTACTACCACCAGGTTGATTACTTATATGCAAACCTCTAGTTTAGGTCTGTTTAGATAATAACTAAGACCCAAGCAGATTTTTTCTAGATGCATCCCCGAAGAAAATCCTTGTCGGAAAAAGTGTACAGAACAATTCACAGAAATGTATCTAAGCTCTTGCTTTAATAACTCTGCACACATAATACGCTATATGATGCTCAGTCACCTTGTAAAACCAAGATCAGCTAAAGAGCCATTGCAATCATGCACCAATAAGCCACTGCAAGCATTCAACTGTTTACTAAATTGAGAACCACAGGGAAGCCAAAGTGAATTTCAAATTTAAGGCAAAAATCACTTAACATGGAAAATTCAGCTATTTTGGTTTAAATTTGTAAATTCTCTTTGCATTCATGCTAGTTTGCACATTAGTGAATAAACTAATGTGAGTACCACAGTGAAAGCCCTTCAAGATGCTGTTGTCAAACAGAAAGGATCATTAGAAATGATCCTGGAATACAAATATGTGATCACTAATAGGAATAAATCACGATGTAAAGTAAACATCCTTTCAACCTGCCATGTCCCTCTAAATGGACTTGGTGGCTAAAACAATTAGGATATTGTTGTAAGACTTGGGATCCAGAATTCCCCTGACCATGAATCCCTGCCTTTTCTGCTTATGAGCTATGCTGGTAGATCTAAAGCATTAAGTTATTCTACATAGTCTGCAGTTTTAGGGGCAAGGTACATGAACAAATGAAGCAGGGGAATTTTAGGTTTGTAATTTATTTTATAATTAAAAAGTATTATGTTAGAATCTAACAAAAAATTTCCAAAGTCTCATCATCCCTAAGCTTTTGTATATCTTCAGAAGTTAATGGTAGAACTGATGCACCTAAAGTGTAGCAGGGATGTGTTTTACAATCCCCTGCACTGCACACCTCGCCATTGTAAACATTGGAATAGTGATCACTGGGGTGTAAGCAAGAGGATCTTTAATGACTTTCATTGGTAGTAGACACAAGAAAAACCTAGTATGCTGATTATCTTATCTCAACAACTAATTTCATTGGTACCATATACTTCTTCCTATATTCATGGTTAGCAAAGAACAAGAATATGGACTGATGTATTAACTCAAGATACATGATGATGCGGTTGTGACCAACCTTTTTAGTTTTTAAATATGCTTACTTACAGAAATGTGATAAAATTCCATATTGCATTTTACCCTCTGAATATGCTGCCTGAAGCCAACTTGGAAATAATATAAGTATACATAACACATCCTTAAAATGTCTGTGTAAAAAGCTTTTCATCAATAAATTCTCATTTATATACAGCCACAGGCCGTAAATTGCAATATTCATATGAGGCAATTTCATAAAAAAAATACATTGGAACTTTTTAATTAGTTATAACCTATGAACATGAATCAGGACACATTGTGAAAGAATCAGCAGATAATCTAGAACTGCTTGAAACCTGTTTACTTAGTTTAAATGTTAAAAACATACATCACTCATTGTATTAAAAATTTTGAATACCACATAGTGCTAAACATTTTGAATAAACACCACTGTGCACATCTCCAAATGTGTTTCATGCTAGTATAAGCACTTATTCGTAGGAATAAAGCATTTTAATCACAGTCCATCTTTAAAGGGAGGAACACATGTAAAAAAGTCACTAAGTTAACAATTGGAGTGCCAGCATTCCATCCAAATCAAGGGGGAAAATTACCCATCGAGAAATTTATTTCTGAGCATAACATTTGAAATAATAAAAAAAAAATTAAATTATACCATGGATCCTCTGATTGCTAGTGAACTGCCACCTTCTAAATGACTATGTGACAATGTGACTAGAACGATAACCATTGCAACCTCTTCATTTTTTCAGTCCTGACAATAATAATAATTTTAGAAAGAGGAAGGCACAGTAACGGTAGTTGGGGGGTAATCAAAGCCTCTATTCTGTGGTAAGAGGGGTAAACCATGTAAATCCACAACAATATATTACTCTGATGTCTGGATAGAAAAGAGGCTAAAAAATACTGGAATCTTTATTGAGACAACAATGTGTACTCATAAAAACCTACACACAAACAGACATACAGAACAGGCTCACACTAAGTGAAAAAATTAATTGTGCTAAAATAAATACCAAACATATACGACTGTCCCTAAAACGAACAGCGTTTGCTGTTCATGTTTGCTGTTTGTACTAGTCATTTATTTACTGGAAGCAGACTGCTTAAGAGAGCTGATGAAAAAAATACTTTTTAACCGTAAAGAGGCATTTGTATAATTTCGTAACGCTGTCCAAGCAAATAAAATATCTGGGTAAATCGCCCTTACAATGAAATGATGGATGTGGGAGCATTTTACTATGTTGCCATGGTTAGCAGAAAATGCATTAGGAAAAATGGTAGTGCTTAGCAGAAGTTCTCCCATTGAGTTTTTTCTGCTACTGATGCTATGATGGATCCTGTCATACGAAAATGTGTAAATACATTTCTTTGGCTATGTAGTCTAAAACCAAATTAATCTTTTAAAGAATTACAGAATCAGCAGGCAAGTAACAGAATCAGTAATCCACAGTAACAAGTCCGATATACAGGTAAAAAAATCAGAACACAAATGGCAGGATAATTAATCCAAAGCAAGTTATACAGTAAAACAAAAGACCTGGCACTGGTCCAAAGTGCAGGCAAATTTATTGGGTAAAGAACAGCAATGTTTCAGCTTCTAACAGAGGCTTTATTATTTCACTGTTTGTCATCTTTGGAGTTTGGTCAACTGTGGATTGGTGGCATGGTCACTACTTCTGACATGTGCCTTCACTTTTCCTTTTGTATTGATGGTATCCAGGTAAAGGCTCTGCATGGCACAGAATCAGAAGACAAGTATCAATAATCCACGAAAAGGATTCTGGAGTACAGGTTAACACTTAAGGTCGTACAGAAGACAAGTAGCAGAATTGGTGCTCCACGTCAAGGGGTCTGATACACAAGTAAACAGTCAGTGTGGTAAAAAATCAACAGGTAAAGAGCAGCAATTGAATCTACAGGGAGTGCAGAATTATTAGGCAAATGAGTATTTTGACCACATCATCCTCTTTATGCATGTTGTCTTACTCCAAGCTGTATAGGCTCGAAAGCCTACTACCAATTAAGCATATTAGGTGATGTGCATCTCTGTAATGAGAAGGGGTGTGGTCTAATGACATCAACACCCTATATCAGGTGTGCATAATTATTAGGCAACTTCCTTTCCTTTGGCAAAATGGGTCAAAAGAAGGACTTGACAGGCTCAGAAAAGTCAAAAATAGTGAGATATCATGCAGAGGGATGCAGCACTCTTAAAATTGCAAAGCTTCTGAAGCGTGATCATCGAACAATCAAGCGTTTCATTCAAAATAGTCAACAGGGTCGCAAGAAGCGTGTGGAAAAACCAAGGCGCAAAATAACTGCCCATGAACTGAGAAAAGTCAAGCGTGCAGCTGCCACGATGCCACTTGCCACCAGTTTGGCCATATTTCAGAGCTGCAACATCACTGGAGTGATAAGGTTTTATGGACTGATGAAATGAGAGTGAGTCTTGATGGGCCAGATGGATGGGCCCGTGGCTGGATTGGTAAAGGGCAGAGAGCTCCAGTCCGACTCAGACGCCAGCAAGGTGGAGGTGGAGTACTGTTTTGGGCTGGTATCATCAAAGATGAGCTTGTGGGGCCTTTTCGGGTTGAGGATGGAGTCAAGCTCAACTCCCAGTCCTACTGCCAGTTCCTGGAAGACACCTTCTTCAAGCAGTGGTACAGGAAGAAGTCTGCTTCCTTCAAGAAAAACATGATTTTCATGCAGGACAATGCTCCATCACAAGCGTCCAAGTACTCCACAGCGTGGCTGGCAAGAAAGGGTATAAAAGAAGAAAATCGAGTAGTGAGCGGCGTGCGCAGGGCTCCACACTAGCTGAACAATACAGTTGCAAAATGGCAAAAGGTGATCCGAAGAAGCCGAAAGGCAAGATGTCTGCTTATGCCTACTTTGTGCAGACATGTCGTGAGGAGCACAAGAAGAAGAACCCTGAAATTCCTGTCAACTTTGCAGAGTTCTCCAAGAAATGCTCAGAGAGATGGAAGATAATGTCAGCCAAGGAAAAATGCAAATTTGAGGATCTGGCAAAACAAGATAAAGTGCGATATGACCGGGAGATGAAAGACTTTGGACCTGTCAAGGGAAGCAAGAAGAAGAAGGATCCTAATGCTCCTAAAAGACCACCATCTGGATTTTTCCTGTTCTGCTCAGAATTCCGTCCTAAAATAAAATCCACAAATCCTGGCATCTCTATTGGTGATGTAGCAAAAAAACTGGGTGAGATGTGGAATAACTTGAGTGACAGTGAGAAGCAGCCCTACAATAATAAGGCCGCTAAACTGAAGGAAAAGTATGAGAAGGATGTTGCGGACTACAAGTCCAAAGGTAAAGTTGATTGCGCTAAGGTTGCTCCTAAAGTTGCCCGGAAAAAGGTTGAGGAAGATGATGACGACGATGATGAAGAGGATGAGGAAGATGAAGAGGAGGAGGATGATGATGAATAAAGAAGTTGTATATTCTGTCCATGTGAATACCATAGAGTAGGGGAACCGCCACCTGTTGCTGTCTTACATGATGGTCAACTACCCTCATTAGGTTTAATTGCAAAATTGGGTTCTGATCATAGTTTCAACAAAAAAGCTCATGGAGTTGCAACAGGTTTACATTATGTAGCCATGTCTTTAAAACGAGCAATCTGAAACTGTATCAAAGTTGTATATATTTCCAAACATTTTTAAAAATGAAAAGGCGCTATAGTGTTCTCCTTACTCTGTGCACTTTGCTGTTGGTGTAACAAAGCATTTAAAAATGTTTCAAGCATTTTTATTTTTTTTATTTAAGGTGTTACTAAATGTTTTTTTGATTTAGAAAATCCTGGGTTCTAAACTGTACATATCTAATCTGTAAACTAGACCAGTTCCTAATGGTGCATATTTTTGGAGTGGTTGGTACTTCAAGGTTTAAACTTTCCTGGATTTTAACACCTTCCTAGGGTTTGCCTTTGAGGCCAAAAGCATGCACGTTGAGATCAATTTTTACACTACATTAGGCGTCAGTTTAGCTCTTTTCTTTTTTTTCCTTTCTGTATATAGTGAAATAGCATTCTGCCATTGGTTGTCAAAGGGGTTCAGCTGGCATGAGAAACATGGATTATTTTTTTTTAATAAAAAAAAATAGTTAAGTGCAGTAGTTTTTAAACTAAGACTGTATTCATGTCTTCCCTGAATAAAGTGAAGATTGAGTACAGTATCTGGAAGTTCAAAAACATTCTGTACATTTACCTTACTTGCATTGGTTTTTTTTGTTCTGTTTTATTTTTTGTCTAGAATGCTGAAATGTTTTTGAAGCAAAATAAAACAGTATTACATTTTTAAGACTGTTCTTGACAAGATTCTAACTGACATGTTGGTTTTACTGTAATCTAGTCACAGGTTGTCTTGCTGTATCTGAAGGCTGCTGTTTACTTGGCACATAAAGCTGGTTTATTGTATTGCTTTTATTTAGCAGCACTAATTAAAAATAAATAAATAAAAAATCACTAGATGCAAACTTGCAAAATAAGTAATGACTCGCTCTACCAGTTAGAGGTTTTTGCAACTCTAAATATAATCTGGCCACTGCCCGAAAAGTTTGCATAGTTAACTGTGCCTTACACTTTCCCTTAAAGTGTATCCACAAGATTGGAAGTTTATACTAGTCTGGCTAGTAAGTCTTATTGCTTATATGATTGTTTGGACTAGTAACCACCACCCAACTTTTTGTTTTCTACAAAAATCTTTTTATCACTTCAGTTTATTTACAACCTCTTTTGTGGCCCATGCTACAGGTTTCATATTGTATTCTCCTGTTTTTCAGAATTGTTTTGGAACTGTTACAGTATATACATGTAAAACTTTTCATAGTTTAAATATGGAATATTAAAACAACTTTAACTCCAAAAAAAAAAAAAAGAAGAAAATCTAATGACATGGCCTCCTTGTTCACCTGATCTGAACCCCATTGAGAACCTGTGGTCCATTATCAAATGTGAGATTTACAAGGAGGGAAAACAGTACACCTCTCTGAACAGTGTCTGGGAGGCTGTGGTTGCTGCTGCACGCAATGTTGATGGTGAACAGATCAAAACACTGACAGAATCCATGGATGGCAGGCTTTTGAGTGTCCTTGCAAAGAAAGGTGGCTATATTGGTCACTGATTTGTTTTTGTTTTGTTTTGAATGTCAGAAATGTATATTTGTGAATGTTGAGATGTTATATTGGTTTCACTGGTAATAATAAATAATTGAAATGGGTATATATTTGTTTTTTGTTAAGTTGCCTAATAATTATGCACAGTAATAGTCACCTGCACACACAGATATCCCCCTAACATAGCTATAACTAAAAACAAACTAAAAACTACTTCCAAAAATATTCAGCTTTGATATTAATGAGTTTTTTGGGTTCATTGAGAACATGGTTGTTGTTCAATAATAAAATTAATCCTCAAAAATACAACTTGCCTAATAATTCTGCACTCCCTGTATTGTAAAGGCACTGAATAAAGAAATGGACGAGTTCACATATTTAGCATGCACCTGGCTCTATATATCATCATCGTGATAGACCATTAGTAATAGCTGATTTCAATGGGAGACATTCTGAAATCATGTGGCACATTCACAATAGGAGAGCACCAGACATATAAGTGGTTCAGTAGACCAATGTATCTAGAAAACAAAATTGTAATATCTACTGCAGTCAGTGTCCAAGTTCTGTGCACCAGGTTCCTGATCATGGTTACTGTGTATGGAAGGACAAGGAGATTATTTGTACATTTGTAAAATATCTTTCCAATGCAAACTAGTAACTTGCAAAATACCAATACTATAGTTATTAAATACTTATTGAATTGCTCTTTTAAAAATGATATTTATTGTTAATCTTCCATCGATTGTAGGAAAAGGAAAATGCATAGACTCATGCAGATAGAATCAAATATTTATAAATTATATTGGAGGAAGGAACTATACTATTAAATGATAAGTTTATTACTATATATCTATTAAAATATTTTATGGGGGCAGTTGCCAGCACCCAAGAGACACAGATGCACGCTGTAAGAACTCCACCCTGACAATCTTGCCTGCAAAAATTGCCTACCAACAATCTTGAAAAAAAGAAGGTGCGCTGTTGGGATAGGCAGAAAGCTATCCTAACTTTAAGATAAGGCCAGGGTCTAATAAAAGTATTTAGAAAATTGGGCAGACTAGATGGGCCGAATGGTTCTTATCTGCCGTCACATTCTATGTTTCTATGTTTCTATGTTGCTTTAAAAATAGTTATATCAAAAAAGCAAAAAACACGTAAAGTGCATATATATTATAAAGTCCACTGTGCAACACAATAATGGTCCAGTGAATATCTGTTGTGCAAATCAGTGCAATACCACACATAGGTAAGTAATCTATGTGATATTGCAGAAGGTCTTGATGGTAAGGTATGTCTTTTTGCTGATGATACTAAGATATGTAACAGGGTTGATGTTCCAGGAGGGATAAGCCAAATGGCAAATGATTTAGGTAAACTAGAAAAATTGTCAGAATTGTGGCAACTGACATTTGATGTGGATAAGTGCAAGAAATGCATCTTGGAAGTAAAAACCCAAGGGAAGAGTACAGAATATTTTATAGAGTCCTAACCTCAACATATGAGGAAAGGGATTTAGGGGTGATTATTTCTGATGATGTAAAGGTAGGAAGACAATGTAATAGAGCAGCAGGAAATGCTAGCAGAATGCTCGGTTGTATAGGGAAAGGTGTTAGCAGTAGAAAGAGGGAAGTGCTCATGCCATTGTACAGAACACTGGTGAGACCTCACTTGGAGTATTGTACACAGTACTGGAGACCGTAACTTCAGAAGGATATTGATACCTTAGAGAGGGTTCAGAGAAGGGCTACTAAACTGGTTCATGGATTGCGGGATAAAACTTACCAGGAAAGGTTAAAGGATCTTAACATGTATAGCTTGGAGGAAAGACGAGACAGGGGGGATATGATAGAAAAATTTAAATACATAAAGGGAATCAACACAGTAAAGGAGGAGACTATATTTAAAAGAAGAAAAACTACCACAACAAGAGGATAGTCTTAAATTAGAGGGACAAAGGTTTAAAAATAATATCAGGAAGTGTTACTTTACTGAGAGGGTAGTGGATGGATGGAATAGCCTTCCAGCTGAAGTGGTAGAGGTTAACACAGTAAAGGCGTTTAAGCATGCGTGGGATAGGCATAAGGCTATCCTAACTATAAGATAAGACCAGGGATTAATGAAAGTATTTAGAAAATTGGGCAGACTAGATGGGCCAAATGGTTCTTATCTGCTGTCACATTCTATGTTTCTATGTTTCTATCACAAACTTACTCCAAAAAAACTTTTAGTAGAGGATAATGGAATTTTTCCAGTCTTTGTATACTTCTTCCAAAATCACTCAGTGATAGTACATGAAATAAAAAAAGATATGTACATAACGTATTACAGTATAAAATTATAGCAGTGAATTATCTAAGTATGAACTCCCACTCACAAGTAGGGACTCTAGGGAGCAGAAGAGCCTGCTCCAACTGTAACCACTTTCAGTATGAGTAAAAATATAAAGATCTGATAAATATTATTCCAGACAAACCTTTCATCACCTTTAAAGGTGCCCCCAATTTTAAACAAGTTTTAACATTTAATCATCCCAGAGAACAATTACCCTATACCTTTTTAAACAATAGCAAAAAAATTTTTATTCCTGTGGTTCGTGCGCTGGATGTAAGCATAGTAAAAATAGCACTTTAAAAGGAATTAACAAGTCTAAAACTAAATATAAGGATGAAGATTTTTTTTACAAATTATGTTATTACTTGCCTAAGTAAAGATGTAATTTATCTTTTAATATGCCCGTGCGGACTACAATATGTAGGTCGGACTATCCGGCCTTTGCACAAGAGAATATATGAACATATCAACAATATACGCAAGGGCTTTGAACAACATAGCATATCCACAAATTTTTAAAAAGGCCCACTAAAGATCCCAGTAGATTAACCTTTTTAGGGATTTAATTAGTAAAAAAAAAAAATCCTGGCCGGGGGAGAAATCATATTTTAAACATATGCAGAGAGGAAATGAGATGGGTCCATAAACGAGGCACTTTAGAACCAAAGGGACTCAATATAGAGTTTAATCTGTATAATTTTTTATAAAGTATTTCCTCATAGTATTAACTCTTTTGTATGAAATCATTTTTTTTATAAAAGGTTTAATTATTTTTTTTTATAATTTTTTAAATGAAATATCTTTTAGATATAATTTTATATTTTTATATAAACATATTTTCTTATTTTTATAAGTATATGTATATTATAATTTCTTTAGACTTACACTTCTATATGTATGGTTCATGTTACCAACATGTGTTTTTCCTTCCTTTAGTAGGTTATATTTTAATAATTAAATTTTTTCTTATTTGTTGGTATATGTGTCATTGTACCCTTAGATGATGACTTTATATGGTGTTATAATATTCAGTTATTTTGTTTATGTATCTTAATATACATTTTTTTAGCTAATTTTGCACAATAAAGAAAGTAAAATTGTAGGCAATCTTCCCCTATATACTTTGCTTGAAGACTATAATTTGCATAAGAATGTTTTACTATGGCTATATGGTTTTCTAACAAACCCAATGAACTGAGACTTTTTTGTATTCACGTCCTTATGGGTGGATATAAATTCGGATGGACAGCAGGATTCTGACAGTGATTTGAAAAAGCTGATCGAGGCGAAAAGCGTCATCACGTCGATTACGTCACAACGTTTAGTGTGCCGTTCCAAAGCCCTGTCCCCTGAAAGCGGTTCTGTGTATCCACGCTGTGTGGGATCACCTGAGCTGGCGGCGTTCCGCAACTGCTGTGTCTGGGTCATAAGGAGTGAAGCTGAAGGCTGGAGGAAGTGTGGCACTTTTAAATTGTGTATTTGAAATAAAGTGGTCCTATTTAATCAGGAATATATCGAGAAGAAATCTAACAAATACAGGGCGGATCTGTGCTTTGGGTCCCGCAATATTAAGACTTCCCTGAAACAGACATTTGGGCCCGAGACCGTCAAGAAGGCAACCATGGAGCCCTCTGGCATGGCTGTGATTGGCCAGTGCAGCATGTGACCCAGCCTCTATGTATAAGCTGGAGTCACGTAGCGCCGCACGTCACATGAGCTCTTATTAGTGTAGGGAGAGGATGCTGCTGCTTTGAGGGACAGATTAGAAAATAATTCTGGTGTTGAATCTGCAAACTACAGTGATTATTCAAACTACAGCTATTATTTTTGTGGGTGCTATACTACATTTTTATACCCTGCCCTGAGCCCAGTGCCACAGAGAGTGCAGTGCACTTGCAACTGCATGTGTGCCAGGCACATGACTTTAATCCTATTCTGATAGCTCAGTGGGCAACATCTAGGCATATTTAAATACTGCAATTTTTTTGGTGCTAAATAGTACATTTGCGGACTGCATTTCTTGCAGTCCAATAAAACCCTTAAATACTACTGTTACATTGTTGGTTTAAAAAATCACACTTTTTTGTGCTAAATAGTACATTTGCGGCCTGCGGTGCACTTCATATCTGAGAGTCAAATAGAACCGTGAAATGCTGCTGTGACATTGCAGTTTGCCTAATTCTTTAGGTGCTAAAAAGTAAATTTGGGGCCTGCACTTCATATCTGAGAGTCAAACAGAAGCGTCAAATACTGTGCTTACAGCGCAGTTTTAAAAATTCAAATTTTTTTGCTGCTAAATAGTACATTTGTGGCCTGCAGTGCACTTCATATCTGAGAGTCAAATAGAACCGTCAAATACTGCTGTGACATTGCAGTTTGCCTAATTCAAATTCTTTAGCTGCTAAAAGGTAACTTTGGGGCCTGCACT